CACATTCAGATGTATGAACAAAGCTTATGTTCATGGATGAACGAAGCTCCTGGCTGTATGTATGCTACACCTCGTTTGATAAACCAAAAGATAACTTGTATAGCTTAGAAGCATCTATGAGCTTTTACGATGTATGTTTAGGTTAAAACCATGACTACAGCTTGCCCATATTGATTATTATGAACTGTGAATTATTAACTATGGTTTAGTTGATGATGTAAGGGTACTAACAGCTAATCCTGTGAGCCATACGAATATATGCAGGGTGTCTCGTAAGTAAGCAGCTAAACTCCGAAAAATGGTTCTCTAAGGATAAAAATTTAGAGAAAATCAAGAATAACACCTTTTCCAAAATCGCTGCGTAAATCGGAGATACCACTATTTTCATTTTTTTACATAACAATTTGTTTCATAACCGATCCTTATAAACATTGGTACGTAAAACTGTGACGTAACACGTCGCTTCTACTTTGACATACGATAGAATGTATGCCAAGGTAGAAGTGACCTATGTTACACAAACAAATTAACTTTCAAATAAAAAAAACAGTCCAATAATAACTTCCAAGAAGGTGGTCATTTTAATTTGACTTCAAGGGAAAGATAAGTAAATTATTAATCCATCTTACATTTTTCCCAAATTTAAATTTTAACATTCGGCTGTTAAACTGTTAACTATATTGAATGAAAGGTTATAAAAGTAAAGTTGTTGCCTTTAATCACAATAAAAGGTAATGTATAGGAAATATATATCTTGACGTATACTGACAACTGACTTTGTCTTTAAGGCATAATTTAATACAATTTATATTACATGTTGAAATATTTTATTACGATTACTGATTAGTTAATGTCAATGCACTTGCCTTACACATTGTGCTGCTTCACATTGTGTACTTCAAGTGCAGGTTTTCATGCGTTAGGTAAGGCAATAATACAGTCATTGAGGGTGGTTTTCATTCACAGATAGCATCAAAGTAGGTGGCAACCTTACAATAAACATGGTTTTGGACACGCTATGAACGTATCACGCTCACGCATGATTAACGCTCACATTAGTTAGTTATTGTAGATGTACGAAGATTGAAAATAAATGTAAAAAAAACAATCAGGGCAGTTTTTAGACAAATATACTATAAATGGTTGAGGAAATAATTACTCTTAACAATCTTTTAAGTTGAAAATCATAATAAACGTCAAACGTGATTTATATTTTAATTAATACTTTTTCATGACTTGTAAGCATAAGTCTACTAACTTGACTTGACTTTTCTCTTAAAATTTACTTCCTTGGTGGTTATCAAAATAGCTCTTTAGAAACTCCTAATTAATAGGCCTTTCAACACAAGCTTTTCAACATGGATGCAATTATCTTCGCTCTTTTACCAACGATGAAAAGAAACTTTTATTAAAGACAGTTCCTTTAACACGTTTTGCAGGTTTTACCCCTAGGGTCTTTGTATTAGGTGTTACAAGTAAAATAAAACAAAACATGCAGGTTGCATTCTAACACCTCTTTATATTTTTCTTTTATTTTTCCATCTATATATGATGAACATTATGGTTGCACATTACAAGAAGAACGTGAATTTTGGTGCTTAATCTATCTATCTATATATTAATAGGCAAGCATGTTTCTTTAAAACCTTTTTTCTCAGCTCGTGTGCGTCGTAGGGAAAATCTATGCATACTGTTAGAAAGATATTTTCCTGTAGGTGTGCAGAATCACATTATAAATTAAAATAGGCTCAAAGATAAGCACAAAAAATGAATTTGAAATTAACAAAAAATTAACATGGGCTTTATGGGTTGCCATGATGGTGACGAAATAACAACGAAATATAAACAGAAAATCAAAACAAATTCCAATCACATGTTTTATTTACAGAGTGGGGTGAAAAATAGAGAAGTATGTAAAGTGCAATTGGATTTTTTTAGCTAGAAGTGGTTAAGCTGTGGTGGAATACCTTTGAAGATGGACCTTTTTAATACGATCATGTGTTCATTCGTGTCAAATCAAAACAAACAAACTGGCATAATATATTCTTGGAATTTGACATACTTAATCTACTTTAGTAAAATCACTTAGTCATTAGCTAATCATTAGAAAATATTATCCAAATCAACTAATGAATAAATTGTTATTTAATTATTGCCTTCAAATTAAGTGATGGTTAATTGCTTTGAAAATAATTAAATTACATATTTATGTACATATTTATGGTCGAGTTTCGACCACTGGACGACCTCTAGTACTTATTTAATACGCAAGCAGGTTTTTTGTGACAATTACTCCTCCAAAACTACTGAACCGATTGACATGTTTTTGGTGTCATTGGAAAGAGCGTAACGTGAAGTTGTGCAGGAAACCTTCTTTTTAAGGAAATAATTAGAGAGTGAGGCCCTGGGGCCCTTCAAAGTTTCGTATTTCTCCATAAGGATAACATGGGAGATACTTTTTATTTACAGAAACATATGTTTGTTACTTGAAAATAGTCAAAGTCTACTACATAATAATTGCTGTGTATTATGACTGTTAATGTATACTACATTTCAATCAAGGATTGTGTACCTTAAAGTTTACTCATAATGGATCTCACTACTTTATTTTAATGCTAAATATAGTAAAATTTAGTTGAGAATAAGTTACCATGATTTAGAAAACTTTACTATAATAATTTATGTATTTAAAATCACAAGTCTTTGACTTTAATAATTCATTTGAAACTTAACAACTGATCGACAAATCAAACAAAAAATCTACTTCATGTGAATAATGTTTTTACACAAACATAGTTTCTTTTAACCAGTAACTTTATGCTTTTTTACTTGTGGGTGTATTTTGAGTTAACAGTTTTGAAAGCACCAAGCCAAAAATTTTCTTTGCAAAAACTAACAGTATTTAATGAATTACTACATGAACATGGTAATTAATTGTCAGTATGCCAAGGGGAAGAAGAGTGAGTCCTCGAAAACAGACGAAGGCGGAGACACCCATCTAGAAAATCCAACTGAGTTTTTAAATATAGAGGTCAGTGGATTGCCAAGACACAGATTATACTAATAAAAGGGGGCAGTGGTTTTATTGATATTAATGCATCAAAAAGGGCCTCATTAATGGCACAAGGCTTCATGTGATCAGAACGGTTAACAAAAATGTAAAGTGAAATGTAGGCTAAGTCCTAACTGGAACAAGTGAGTAGGGACATATTTTGATTTTGAGGATAAAACTTTGCCCGTCTGAAACAAACTTAGCTTTTAATTTTAAAAAGGCTAATTTTTGGAAAGATGATAATATCTGTTATCTTTGGCATTTGCAGCAAAAACACTTTAACTAAAGAGCAGCACTGTTCTTAGCCAGACCAATTTCGGTCATGAACAACTATATATATATTTATGTTGTTTTAAGTAAGGCTCCTTTTAATAGGATATGCATATTCATTACAGAAAATTCTGACCAGGATAATATTCCTGAAGGTAACTTTAAGACTAACATCGTAGTATTCATGGAAGTGCTTTTGTGATAAAAATATTGTTTTTAGTGTTTATTTTTAAAAGTGTTTTCTTTAAGCAGCATTTTATGACCCTCAGAATATGCTACATAGGCCTATTGGTTTGATATGATAAAATGTTTTGTTAAATGTGTTGTAAATGAGTAAAAAAATAACTACCCTATAGGCCTAACATACTTAACCTTGAACACTTAGCCTATTAATTTACTAAATATAATACACATACAGCTAGAAAATGGCTGGACTGCTTCCCTTCTAAGGCTTTATTATTACTATATTTAATTTTCGACGTCGAGTCAATTTATACACGATGAATTTGTTTTCTAAATTCATATGTTTTTTGCGGGGCATTGAGCCGCACAGGTTCACTAGTAATAATTAATTAATAAGTAGATTGGATATTTTTTTATCGTTTATCAGTGCGTTTCCTACACAATCTAATTAGTTCATTTATATTTTTAGTTTAGTCAAGTAGTGGCAAGATAAAGTTACGGACTGTTTATAGAAAATCACTTGCATTGCCATACAACAATTTAGGATCTTCAAGCACAAGGAAAACCTAATAAAACACCGGATCTTCTTCAAAATAAATAATTTCTAGACATATCTAAAACCCACACTAATACACACTTTTAAAAATGTTAACCTTTTATATTTACGATCTGTTACAATTTATTGTACACTCATATATTTCATGAGTTTATTTGGTGTCAACATTTGCTTTGCTATGAACGTCGTTTTAGGGGGTTCCTGGGGAAATTAAAATGAGAAATTAAGGATTAAGCTGTGTTAAATAATTTAATAATCAGTAAAATAAAATGAAGTTACTTCCATCCATAACATGTTTGTCAGTTCCCAAGCTAATAAAAACACAGAAATACTTAATTAATATTTCCAATCCGTTTTCACACTTGGAATCTGTACTATAGGTAAACCGTTTAGAAAGCGTCCTCCTCGTAGCATTGGTGCGAGAGAGAGATACCGAGCTGTGGGAGTGAGACAGACTATGGCTCTTCCCCCACTCCGCTGCCGCCAACCCCCAACCTTCCCGAACACCGCGCAGTGATACAACACAACGCAACACAAACACAACCCTGCAGAGTGCAGTGTACTCGCGTACTGCTACCGGACCGGCACCTCGCTCTCGTTGAATACAATAATACAATAATTATTTCCTTTTGAACTACAATAATTCTTTGGGACTAAGTCCATCGTTAGGTAACACAACACACATAAATATAAATAGCTTAAAAACACTAATATAATAGAATAGACTAATGATTCTCACGGACTACCTTTATAGATATATTTGTTGATCAGTTATTGGAAGAACTTAAGCTTTGATAAATGTGAACCATATGTACAGTATGCATCATATTGAATGATATTGATACAAATTAATTTGTATAATTTTCAGTTTGAGAATAAAATAAACGACATACCTTAATTAGTAGTGGAAACCAAATGTCGACGATCTAAATATTATCTCTATTCCGAATCGGTAATGAAATCACTGATATCACTGTCATCCTCAGATTCATTTTGGTTTACTGAAATTATCAGTCTGTCGATTTCATTGTCTATTATATGGTCTTTTTCCCAGTAATCTTGTTCGACCTTTTTGACATGTTCACAACATTTCTTCCATTCTTCTGCAGTGTATGACGTAAACAGACTGTCACAAAGTCTCATTTTTTGGTCCAATGTCTTTGCAGCTACATCTTTAGCAACCTGTATAAATAAATACTTTTTAAATCCCATACGAACACGTAATTTCTTTACATTTTACGTTGGTTTTTATACTGTTACAATTATATATATTAAGCCTACACGTACTATAATTATTAATTATACTAAATACTATAACTTGTTATTATAATTCAAACCAATTATGTGTTATAATGCTATATTAATATAGGAATTCCCGTAAAAGGTTATGTGTAGTTGGCTTAATACTGTTGTGTTAAAAAGTACTTTAAAAAAAATATATTAAACGCACTCCACCTATTTTCATATTGCCTCTTCCTCGACAACCGGATTGGAGTTATGAAAACAATTTTAATACACTTATAAAATATATGACAATAATAAAACATAAATTAAGCCTACCTGTCCTTTTATAGCTCCCCATACCAACTCAATGGGGTTGAAGTCGGGGTGATATGGTGGCAGTCGCAGCACTTGATGTCCAAAATTGTTAATAAGCTGGTCTATTTTGTACACCGGCTCCCTCTGGACGTTTTGCACCAACATCAAAAGTTCTACTTTGGTAAAATTTTCGTCATAGTCAATGTTGTGTTTATGAAGCCAGTCTTGAATGTTCTTCTTCAAAGAACCACTTGTTGGTTTTTTGTCTTCCTCTACGCAATGGTATTTTGCATTGTCCATCACTATAACGCTTGGTTCTTCAAGATTCGGCAACAGTTGTTTTTCAAGCCATTTATTGAAATTTTCATAGTTCATGGACTCATGATAATCGCCTGTTTTTTGATGTGCTTTGAAAATTGCCAAACTGTCCCTTACAAATCCATTTTCACCGCCACCGTGTGCAATTATCAGCCGTTCGCCTTTCCCAACAGCCTTGGTTACGCCGGGTTCCTCAGGACTTTGCCAACATTTACTTACTGTATGGTTCGCATTAACGTAAGTCTCGTCGATGTAAACAATTGGAAAGCCTTCTGATCTACATTTCTTAATTTTTTTCAAATATCGAATTCGCCAATCAACGGTTGAAGGGATTTCTACCAATAGTTTTCTTCTAGACTGGCATCTAACCCATTTAAAGCCCAATTGTTTTAACACAGATATTAAGTACGTCCTTCCACATGTTAAAATGTCTGCTTCCTCAAGAGCTGAAATGAGTGTCTTCACAGTAGGCAATTCTTTTTTTAAGATGTACATTTCCTGTATTTTCCTTCTAATAGCGGCTTTAGTAAAATCATCAACTTCAATTCTTTTTTTTCTTTCAGTCTTTTTGCCTGTAGGTGTAGAAAAGGTCAACTGTCCTCGGATTTCAATCGCTCTTTTTCCCTCACGAATAATTTGTTTTACGAGGGTTTGCCCAATACCTGTAGCTGTTGATGTTTCCTCGGCCAAATTAAATGTCAAATCATGTTCTTTCTTCATTCCTTTCAAGTGTTCTGCAACTTTATACACAATTTCTCTTGCCTGCTCTCCAAGAGGTCGACCAGATACAGAAGAAGATTTTGATGTCGCCATTACGTTTGTCAACAAACACAGGTCATATACCAATCTACCACAATTTCAAAAAACGATTTACTATTAAATAGCTACCGTAACTATAAAATAACTGAACAAAACTATCCCTACCTACTAAACTATCACTAACTATCACTAAATATTAACAATTATAAACGTTGTTGCAACTCAAAAATCGTTCAACAAAATGAAGGGGGAAATCTCGAGACATAAAAAGAGAGTCCGCGTGGAGGATTCAGCGCAGGGTCGTACTGACTCGTCACAACAATGCTTGTCAACAGATGTTAAATCACGATTATTAAAACAGAAACGGTATGTACCATAACTAATGATGTCACTAGCGTAAACACAATTGAGCATTACCATTGACTATACATTACCATTGACCTGTTGGTATATTAGTCAATGGCATTACTTAAATGGAACTGTGAATACAGTTATATAGTTATTGTTGCGAATTTCCCATATAGGGCTTTCCTCTGCAATGATCACATTTCCATCTTTCCTAGTAAAAATTGTAGCACTTCGGCTAACATCCTCGTTCATCTTTGGTAGGAATGTGAATCTTGTAGGCCTAGGTGTTCTTCATTATACAGGCTAATAACGATAGTAAATTCTTAAAAAAATATTATCTTTATTTCTTTTACTCGGTGGCGTTCTATGACTTTTATGTTTCATGGGTTCTTTCAGTGATTAATTTCTAAAGATTTAGTTTTTTGTAGGACGCATTTCTTTGAATTGCAGCTTAAATATTAACAGCAATTAAATTATACAGCTGATCAAAATGTAAACTAGGGTTGCTTTCAGATAGGTGAAAGCCAGTTATATGGTGCAACACAAATAAACAACTCGATCACCTACTTATAACCTACACTTTACCTCCCTAATCTATAACTTTACTTCAAAACTTTTAATGTAGTCATGAATACTCATAAACCCCGACCTACCTTCCCCACATACCTAAATTAGATCAGTGTTCAATCTGCGTTTTATTAATAAGTGTAATATAGCTGACTGCACCGTCGATGTAATTCAACATAATATAACCTGTGATCCTAATTTGTAGTATGAGCTACCGGTTTCGAGGTTATAACCTCATCATCAGGCTTCTTGTCACTCTTGCGAGGTCGTCGAGTTTTATAAACACACAAAACACTGACATTTAAATAAATAAGTTACAAGACATTGACGGATACGATACGAATATATTTAACATAAAAAACTGGAACTAGTTCCCACACGACGCGGCACGGGTAAACGTTTTGTCATGACAAAACGTTTACCCGTGCCGCGTCGTGTGGGAACTAGTTCCAGTTTTTTATGTTAAATATATTCGTATCGTATCCGTCAATGTCTTGTAACTTATTTATTTAAATGTCAGTGTTTTGTGTGTTTATAAAACTCGACGACCTCGCAAGAGTGACAAGAAGCCTGATGATGAGGTTATAACCTCGAAACCGGTAGCTCATACTACAAATTAGGATCACAGACAGAAACAGGTAATCTTATACCATTTTAATTTTCAAGAAGTGATCCTGGACCAAATAACATCATTATGAAAATAATATAACCTGTGATGTATTATCGGATTAAATATCGATTTCGATGCGGTTCGATATATCGCTTATTAAGTCCTGATTTCTAACATTTGCTGTTTCTGATCAGCTGGCAACACAAATAGGTTCCCAAGAAAGTAGTCACTGGTCCGTATCCCTCCGCTCCTTGTTTATGCTCTGCGCATTGAGAAAGTAGTTCCGTATATTTTCTCGATTTTCAGTGAGTTCCGCGCCTTAAAAAAGTGTTTTAACGGCATTTTCTTGTTTATTTAAATCATAGTAATGGTTTAAAAACGTTTAAAAGAAAAGTCTAGAAAGTTTGGAAATACCTTATGATTCCCTTGTTTACATTTTTCTTGTAAACAAAAAACTGTCATATGGCTACTTTTATCCCATAAGCCTAATGTTAAAATTTGAAAAAAATAGATCCTGCAGTGTGAAAACGGACGTTGGCGGAGAGGGGGAACATACCCTCCCTCAACGTTACCTCCCCTACATGCGCTAAAAATTTCGCGCAGGTCGTTTTCTAAACGGTTTACCTATAGCAGAGTTTACTGTTTTGGCTGGTTCATGCCATGAAGCCGTTACACCCTGTGTTGTAATTTGTGCGGACCACATTACCACGTGTAGTAATGGCGCGGCGATCGTGTGCCGAACAGTTGAATAGATTTGTCCAGAGGCGTGGCGACTATAGCGTGGTCAGGACCAGTGTTAACCTGCGACATGTTTATCTCGATGTTGTGAATTTGGTTTGATACGAATGCAATAACCTCAATGTTATAATTTTAAAAACAAGTCATAGAGGGGAAATATCGACAGAGTAAAAGAATGGTAATAGGTTTTAGCATTGAGTATAAACATAACAGTATATGATCGTTTTAGCGAATTTCCCATTTAGGGAATACGCTATTACCGTAGTACTCATGGTAAGACCTGGACCCGGGACCGATTTGATTTTTCGTTTTGAGGTCCCTAGAGGCCAAAAATACCATCCGTTCAAATTCATATATATATATATATATATATATATATATATATATATATATTGAATAAATATATCGTTAACTTATAATTATTATTATTAAATGAAATAAATAATTAAACATTTAGTACCCTTTAAGTTATTAATTTATTAGTTTAATTAATAAATAATAACTTAAAGGGTACTAAATGTTTAATTATTTATTTAATTTATTAATATATATATATATATATATATATATATATCTAAATATATAAAAGGCAAAGCCCTCACTGACACACTCACTCACTCACTCACTCACTCATCACTAATTCTCCCACTTCCCATTTACCTAGGAGGCTGAAATTTGGTACACCGATTCTTTAGGCATTAAATAGGAAAACTAAGTTGTTTTTATTCTGATCGGACTCTCGGGCTCCGCCCCAGTGGCTCTGGGGTTTCCCATGTTAACCTTATGATTTTTCATATTTAAAAGGAATTAATGAATCTTATCAGCTGTTTCAATTGAACAAGTTGGTTCTGTTCTATGATGTTTCAATAGCTTTAAAGTTACAAGGATTGCCAACAGGGTGCAACACTATTATTATTTTTTTAATTTATGACAACAGCTAATTTGCAACCAGAAGGTGAGTGAGCGTAGCGAACGAACTTCAACCTGGAGGCGAGTTAGCGTAGCGAACGGACTAACCTGAAGGCAAGTGCGCGCAGCGAACGAGCTCCAACCAGTAAAGGTGAGTGAGCGTAGCGAAAGCACTTCAACCAGGACGTGATTGAGCCATGCGAACGAGCTCATCTTGAAAATTAAGAAGTTAAACGGGGCAAAGCCCGCGGGTACAGCTAGTATATATATATATGTATACTAGCTGACCCGGCGAACTTCGTATCGCCTAAGTTATAGGTTTCCCCTAAGACAGACTGATGGAAAGAAAGTACCGTTACGTTTAATTTTCAAGATGATCTCGTTCGCATCGCTCAATCACGTCCTGGTTGAAGTTCGTTCGCTACGCTCACTAACCTTTGGGTTAGAGCTCGTTCGCTACGCTCACTCACCTTTAGGTTGGAGCTCGTTCGCTGCGCTCACTTGCCTTCAGGTTAGCTCGTTCGCTACGCTCACTCGCCTCCAGGTATATGTATATATATGTATATTTATATATATATATACATCCCGCTATCTATATGGCTGCAATCAGAATTTAGGTTTTATGGCTGCCCCCAGAACCAAAAGAGTATATTTGAGTTTTATAGTGTATATTAACTGTAAATTACACAACTAATACAACTGTGAATTAATATTATTAATTTGTTGTTTATAAATAGGCGTATCAAAAAGCATGTAAATTGGCCACCATCAGTTTACATTTCATATGGCGCTCCCATGTATATCTGGCCTCCATATGATTGTCAGCAGTATACATCATAAGTATTTTGCGTTGATACGGCTGCCTACACTGTTGTCAATTCTACTTAGGTTACTCATATTTTTTAACAGGAAACACACATCCTGCCTTGGGCTCTGAGCTTCTCATACAGCCACATTTGACAGAATAAAAGTTTTGGTTTTAACAATCATACTTAAAACGTGATACTAGTTATTCAGATGGCAATTCTTTGAGCCGAATATAGTAATTTTTCAGAATTTGAATGAAAGAATTGATTATCTCATTTCTTTGAAAACTAATACAGCAAAACTTAAGTCCAGATTTTAAAATGATACTTTTTCTGTGTAAGTGTGAAATTAAAAATGTCTTTTTAAGAGAGGCGATTCAAAAAATCCTCTCTACCGCTTATTATCTGAACAATTAACAAACCAAATACTTAATATAATTAATATTTGAAGATTGTATAAAGGTCAGAAGTTAAAAAAAAAAACACACTCATTGTTCAGTATTCACTAATGGAGCTGATCCGACATTACAAAGTTTAAAGATCTCTTGTGTGAAGCTATGCCTATAGAGACGTTTTGAGATCTTTAAATTTAAAGATTTCAAAATTTAAAGCTGTGAGGCAGTGGGGTCTTTTGTTCTAGTCTAAATAAAATTCCCAGACAATCCTAACAATTCCAAGAATCACAATTCGATTCGACCGTTAGGTGCAACACTCAGCATTTCTTTACGTATCTACGTAAAATCTGTCAAATAAAGAAGTTTTATATTGATTAACAATTTTTATCTTAGGAATAAAATGTTACCAACTGAATTATTTGTAAATACAATACAAAAACAATCTCCAGATGATCTTAATAATAACTAAATAAATATTAAAGAACAACAAACATATGACATCTTCTCTTCCCTTTTTTTAAAGACATGTTCTTCTTGGTGGATTTATTTGTCTGCCAAATGAGGAAAAACAATTAGGCTCAGTTCCAGGGTCATCAGATGTTTTGGGTTGTAGTTGTCTTAGCATTACCCCGTTGCGACGTATCATGCCTTCGTTTGTCTTAACTGTGTATGATCTTGGAG